TCGTCCAAGATTACTTCTCAAGAATTCTAGCGGTTACTAATAACCTAAAGAGAAATTGGGAGAAGCTAGATGAAGTGAGAATAATGGAGAAGGTTCTTAGATCGTTGGATTCAAAATTTGAGCATATTGTCACTGTCATTGAAGAGACAAAATATTTGGAGGATATGATAATAGAGCAACTACTAGGATCACTGCAAGCTTATAAAGAAAAGAAGAAGAAGAAGGAAGACCTTGCAGAACAAGCACTCAAGATGCAAATTGATCAAACCAAAGATAGAAGCGGCCGAAGTCATCCAAGAAGAGGTGGCGGTCTCGAGGAAGAGGATGTGGTTATGGAAATGGACGTGGCTGGAGGTCATATGAAGACAAGACTAACCAAAGAGGAGAAAGCTCATCAATAGGACGTGGGAGAAGAACTCCAAAATCAAGGTACGAGAAATCAAACGTCAAATGCTATAATATGGGAAGTTTTGGACATTATACCTCTGAATGCAAAGTTCCAAACAACAACAGAGTTGAAGAGAAGTCCAACTATGCTGAAAAAGAAGCGAAGAAGAGGATATGCTACTAATGGCATACAAGAAGGATGAACGAGATGAGGTCCACAAGTGGTACCTTGACAGCAGCGCAAGCAATCACATGTGCGGGAAAAGAAGCATGTTTGTGGAGCTCGATGAATCAGTGAAAGGAGACGTGGCCTTAGGGGATGAATCAAAGATGGAGGTGAAAGGTAAAGGATAAATTCTCATCCAAATGAAGAATGGAGATCAGCAATTCATCTCCATTGTTTATTATATTCCAAGCATGAAGACCAACATCTTGAGCCTTGGACAACTCTTAGAGAAAGGTTATAAAGGACAATAACCTTTCTTTAAGAGATCAAGCTAACAATCTCATCACCAAAGTGCCGATGTCAAAGAATATAATGTTTGTTCTTAACATTCAAAATGACATCGCAAAATATCTCAAGATGTGCTACAAGGAGGAGTCTTGGCTTTGGCGTCTTCGTTATGGACATCTCAACTTTGGAGGCTTGGAGCTGCTCTCTAAGAAAGAAATAGTGAGAGGATTGTCCTGCATCAATCATCCAAATCAGGTGTGTGATGGGTGCCTACTTGGAAAACAATTCAAAATGAGCTTTCCAAAGGAATCGGAGACAAGAGCACGGAAGCCATTGGAGCTCATACATACAGATGTTTGTAGCCCAATTAAATCAAGATCACTCGGTAAGAGTAACTACTTCCTTCTCTTTATTGATGATTTTTCAAGAAAAACATGGGTTTACTTTTTGAAAGAAAAAACTAAAGTGTTTGAGAACTTCAAAAAGTTTAAAGCCTATGTTGAGAAGGAAAGTAGCCTTGTGATCAAAGCCATGAGATCGGATCGAGGAGGAGAATTCATGTCCAAAGAGTTTCTGAAGTATTGTGGAGATAATGGAATTAGATGTTAATTGACAGTGCCAAGATCCCCTCAATAGAATGGAGTAGCGGAAAAGAAGAACAGAACAATTCTTGAGATGGCAAGTAGCATGCTCAAAAGTAAGAAGCTACCAAAGGAGTTTTGGGCAGAAGCAGTTGCATGTGCGGTCTATCTATCAAACAGATCTCCAACAAGAAGTGTTTGGGAGAAAACACCATGAGAAGCTTGGAGTAGAAGAAAGCCCGGTGTTTCACATCTAAGAGTCTTTGGAAGCCTTGCCCATGCTCATGTACCTGATGAGAAACGAAGCAAGCTAGATGACAAAAGTGAGAAGTACATCATCATTGGGTACGATGCAAACTCCAAAGGCTACAAGCTCTACAATCCTGATTCAAAGAAGACAATCATCAGTCGGAATTTAATCTTTGATATAGAAGGAGAATGGGATTGGAGACCAAATAATGAGAATTAAAACTTCTTTCCACATGTTGAAGAAGATGATTTGAAGCAGCCAAGAGAGGAGCCAGTTACTCCACTAACCTCACCAACACCAAGTTCTCAAGGAGATGAGGGTTCGAGTGAAAGGACTCCACGTTTTAAGATTCTCCAAGAGCTTTACGAGGTAACCGAAAATCAAGAAAACCTTACCTTATTTTGCCAATTTGCGGATTGCGAACCCATGAACTTCCAAGAAGCAATGGAGAAGAATACATGGATAAATGCAATGGATGAAGAGATCAAGTCAATACAGAAGAATGAGACATGAGAGTTAGCTTCACTTCCAAATGGGCATAAGGCGATTGGTGTAAAGTGGGTGTACAAAGCGAAGAAGAACTCCAAAGGAGAAGTTGAAAGATACAAGGCAAGACTGGTGGCAAAGGGATATAGGAAAAGAGCCGGAATCGACTATGTCGAGGTATTTGCTCTTGTTGCTCGATTAGAAACAGTTAGACTAATCATTTCATTAGCAGCCCAAAAGAAGTGGAGGATACATCAAATGGATGTCAAATCAGCCTTCTTAAATGGAGATCTTGAGGAAGAAGTCTACATTGAGCAACCACAAGGCTACATAGTCAAAGGAGAAGAAGATAAAGTCTTGAGGTTAAAGAAGGCGCTCTACGGGTTGAACCAAGCACCAAGAGCTTGGAATACTCGAATTGATAATTATTTCAAGGAGAAAAGCTTCATCAAGTGTCCATATGAGCATGCACTATATATCAAGACACATAACAATGATATATTGATTGCATGCTTGTATGTTGATGACTTGATATTCACAGGCAACAATTTAAGTATGTTCGAGAAATTCAAGAAAGAGATGACAAAGGAGTTCGAGATGACCGATGTTGGATTGATGTCTTACTACCTTAGAATTTAAGTGAAACAAGAAGAGAATGGAATCTTCATTACTCAAGAAGGTTATGCTACAGAGGTGCTGAAGAAGTTTAAAATGGATGCCTCGAATCCAGTTTGTTTCCAATGGAATGTGGAGCCAAGCTATCAAATCAAGAAGAAGGAGAGAGTGTGCATCTAAGACTCTTTAAAAGCTTGGTTGGAAGTCTACGTTACTTAATGTGTACAAGGCCAGGCATATTACATGCAGTTGGAGTTGTGAGCCGATACATGGAGCATCCAACAACCACTCACTTCAAGGCAGCTAAGAGAATCCTTTGCTATATCAAAGGTACGATAGACATTGACTTGTATTACTCTATTTCTGATGATTACAAGCTTGTGGGATATAGCGATAGCGATTGGGGTGGAGACATAGATGGTCGGAAAAGCACAAGTGGTTTTGTGTTTTCATTGGAGAAACAGCTTTCACATGGATGTCAAAGAAGCAACCATTTTTCACCCTTTCTACTTGTGAAGCTGAGTATGTAGCGGCTACTTCATGTGTTTTCCTTGCTATCTGGTTACAAAACTTATTAAAGGAGTTGAGTTTGCCACAAGAGGAGCCGACGAAGATCTTTGTGGACCACAAGTCAGCAATAGCTTTGGCAAAGAATCCCGTCTTTCATGATCGAAGTAAGCACATCGACACTCGCCATCATTACATTAGAGAATATGACATCAAGATGGATGTGCAGTTGGAGTACATGAAGACTAACGATCAAGTAGCCGACATCTTTACCAAGCCACTCAAGCGTGAAGCCTTTATAAAGATGAGAAGTTTGCTTGGAGTAGCAAAATCACGTTTAAGAGGGGGTGTTGACAGATAAACTTGTTCAAGTTTAAATATTGAATTAGTGATCCAATAATAATTGGGTCAAAACCCAATGCTACTTAATCAAAGATTCTAGAGTCTTCTCTAGAAAAAATCTAACATCTCCACCTCCTTATAATATTCTAGAAAGTTGTAGAGAATAAAAATCTAGAAATAATTCTAGGTAATTGTAATAAAATAATCTAGATATTAAGATAGAATAATCTAGATTTAGGATCAAAATATATTAGATATTTTGTACTTTGGAGGCTATAAATAGCACTCTCCTCTCTCATCTGTAACTATGAAGTTAAAAAATAATATTAAGAGAAGTTAAGTGAAGTTCCTAAGTCCTTTAAGTTTTTGAAAACTTTCTTCTTCATAAAATTGTTCCTTTGTCTTTCAAGTTCTTAAACACTTCTCCATCACCCATAAAAGTTCTTTCTTTCCAACAACAACATTTCGAGTTTTAATTGAGATCCAGACCGGAAATGTTACTGGATTCCAGTTTAACTGGTTGGACTGTCCGGACCGGGCCAGGTTTAAAAACATTGCTCATATTCTACATTTAATCTGGCCATTAACGTATAAATAAAAGTAATTAAAAATAACACTTATATTTATAATAATTATAAAAATAATTATTTTATACTTCTCTTTCATTAGGGTACTTGTTTCACATTATTTTTTTATTATACGTTATTTTGAAACATTTTCTCAAAACTATAATCTAAAAACCAACCATTTTCTTCCTCTATCTCTTTCTAAACGTTTGGTTAGTTTATAAATTATAAATTATTTTTTTGGTTATTCATCAAATTCACTTTAAATAAAAGTGAATAAAATTTCTATCTCGTCGAGTCTCGATGCATTCTATTTGTAATCCCAAATTTCTATTTTATATGAACATATATTTTTGCATGTTATAAATTTTGATTCACGTTTGAAAATGGAGCGAAACTGGATCGAAACAGAATTTCAAAATACATTTTCATATAGCATATATTTTCGTATAAATAAAGTTTTGAGAAAGAAAAAAAAAACCCTACCCTAATTTACATTACCATATGTTAATTTTCTTGTAACAAATATATAGAGTAACAACAACAGATATAAAATACAATGGAACACACAAATGATTAAAAACTCACACATTCCACCTTTTTGTTTAACAGTACACTTCTTGCACAATACAAATCCACATATATTGAACAACTTTTCGTGTATGTATTTAGTGACGCACGTACCTAACCTCCTCTAGTTTAATAAGAAAACCAAACCGGAAGGAAAAACCATACTGAGCAAATTTCTATCTTAATGAGAAGCAAAACTAGGAGAAGTAACCGAGAGATTCTTAGGCACTTGTGAACTAACGTTTGACCCTTTCACTAAAGGAGAATACCAAAGAGCAGAGGTTTTTTGGAGATTTTTTACATTGTGGATTGCTGAAATTCAAATAGTATAGTCCATATGTGTAATTCAAATTGACAAATTCGAACAAATCCACAAACCGCCATTCGAAGTAGCCCCTTGTATCTGACCCATTCCTGCATATGATAAATTGTATGCGGTTTAGTATTCGGTTTGCGAGGCAAGTCTTTTCAAGGAGCATATATTACACACCTCAATGAATTGAGCATGGCAGCGATATAAGCATGAAGGTATTCAACTTTTTCCACGTCATGAAGCGGTGAATAGTGATTGGTAGGTCGGCCTAATTGTTTATATACAGTACTAAAAAACTCTCAAGATCTGTATTGTTTGGTAACTAATTATGGAAGAAATCGAAAAAGAAAGAAAAATATCGCTTTCAATAATGTAGATGGGAGAACTGCCATCGTTCTGCTTTGTGTATTCCAACACTCCTTCACAACCCCAAGGAAGCACATCAATCTATGGATATATCATATATAACAAGGAAACTCAAGATTATAAAAGAGTGTTAGGGTGACAAAACGGTCTTTTAAAAGATGGCAGTCTTTGGAAACACACCTCGATAAATGTAGAATTCCCATAGGCTGTACCAAAAAACGAAATAAAAAAAATCACTGTTGGACACATGTATGGTAGTTTAAAAAGAAAACCAAAGATCCAAGAAAGAAAAGCATACGGATTAGTGTAGCATTCATGTATGTCTCTGACTATAGATATTTGTGTGCTATGTACGCTATGTAGTGTATAACTCTCAAGAAGTCGGATGAATCTGAGCACGACAACAATATAACTGTTATTTCTGGTGACAAAATATTCTAAGAGGTTCATAGTACAGTTTTTTATTGGACTTAGAAAAAGAAAATCCCTTTACTAAGTGGTTAAGGAATCAAGTTTTGTGGGTTATAAATACAAAGTTGTAGGATTGTAAATCATTATTCACACAATTAATAAAGAAACCCTAAAACGGGTGTTTGCCTCAATTTCAAAATCAGAAGATTTTATTGCGCATGTCAATAACATCGATCAAATCATTGGTGATCTAGAACATGTGGATATGAAAATTATTGTGCTCTCTGCCTCTTTAGTATAAGACTTTGTTGACATCGCTTACGGTTAATAAAACAACTATGAGTCTGGAGACAGTTTATTCTTCATTGCAATCTTATAATGAACGATGACAGAACACTAGTATTGAGGATAAGTCACAAGGTGATGGGTTGTATGCGAGTTACAATCAGCAAAAGAGAAGGCTTAAGGAGAAGCAACAAGATGGGAAAAGCGGGGACAAATCAAAATGTAAGGCTGGAAAGAATTTAACGTGCTTTGGTTGTGGCAAAAAAGGCCACTACAGGAGATATTGTCCGACTAAGAAGCAAAACGCAAGAATTTCTGCGAATGTGGTTCAGAAGAAGGAAGATTCAGAGGAAGAGGAAAGAACAACTTGCTGGTGTGACATCAAGAAGTCACGCATATTCTTAGAATCAAGATACGGGTGCATAACTCCATATGAATTTTCATAGAGAATGGTTTGAGACGCATAAAGCTGGGAACATGGGTTCTGTTCAGCAGGCAAACAATATGGCATGTACTATTATTGGTGTTGGGCAGACCAAATTCTGCATGCATGATGGTATTATCAGAACATTGACATATGTTAGGTTTGTTAGAGAATTTGATCTCCTTGGGTTCACTTCATAAAAACATATTAATATTTAGAGCTGATAAATATGAAGACATTGTGAAGGTTTGCAAAGGAACTATGGTCGTGATAAAAGGAAATATGACAGCAGTGAGTGTTTTTCAACTTCTAAGAAGCGTAGTTGTAGGTGGAGCTGCAGCTGTGGTGTCTGAATCTGATAGCACAATGTCTATCATATGCAAATGGGACGTATATGAGAGCATGCCTTATTGAAACTCCACAAAAGAGGCCTTCTGGATTGGTTAAAGAACTGCAAGATTGAATTTTGCTGGTTCTGTGTGATGAAAAACAGTCCAAGGTTTTGTTTAAAATAGGACAACACACGACAAAGGATCTTTTAGACTATGTTCATTCTGATATGTGGGGTCCGACTAGAGAACAGTAATTGGGAGGATCTAAGTATTTTATATTTCATTGATGACTTGTCCAGGATGGTTTGGGGGTACTTCTTGAAGTAGAAATCTGAGGTATTCCAGAACTTTAAGATTTAGAAAACTAGGTGGAAAGAAAGTTAAAATATCTAAGATCAGATAATGGCATAGAGTATATTGATGACGAGTTCCAGAAGTTCTGCGAGGAGCATGGTATTAAAAGACACTTCACAGTGAGGAAAACATCACAACAAAACGGGGTCAATGAAAGGATGAACCATTCGACAGCATAAAAAGATAGGTGTTTCAAGGTTGAATGCAGGACTTCCAAAGCAGTTATGGACTGAGGCAGTAAACATGGCTGTCTATCTCATCAATAGATCGCTAAAGAGTTCTCTAGAGGGATAAGTAGCAGAATAAGTGTGGACTGAGATAGACATTGATCTAACTTAAAGATATTTGGATGTCCAGCTTATATGTTAATTCTAAGTGAGAAAAGATTAAAGCTGGATTCAAAGTCAAAGAAATGCATATTCATAGGCTTCGAAAGAGGCATGAAACGCTTCAAGTTATATGACCATGAGGCTAAGAAGAGGTTGTTTAGTCGAGATGTGGTCTTTGATGAGAAGTGTATGGTGCAACATGCGAGATCAGAATGAGTACATGTGACCATTGGGATATACACAGATTATGATACAGTGCGGAGGGGTCTAAGTGGTTAGACCAGCAGCAGTAAGTGATACGCAGCCTGCTAAGGAAAAGTAGGAGGGTGAACAAAAACGAGCAGAAGAGAGATTGACGAAAATCAGACCGATACATATCACAAAGCTAGCAAGAAGATTAAGTTTCGAAGATGTGGTTAGTTATGCTCTTATGGTTGGCACAGATGATCCAAGTAATTTTCGAGAAGCTATATCTAGCCCTGGCAAAGTTGAATGGATTGGTGCAATGAGAGAGGAAAATGAAAGTCTTTAGAAGAATCAAACATGGGATCTAACGCTTTTACCACAAGGTAAGAAAGTGAATGGATGCAAGTGGGTTTTCAAGGTAAAACTGATATATCATAGTTTTTATGGTTTTTAACGATGATATAAGTTTTTTTTATTAAGTTTCTTTGGTCTTTTTAGAGTTCTAGTAGAGTCTTTGCAGGTTATAGCATGTCTGGAGCATAATTGGAGATATTGAAGCTTTTTGGAGCATTGCAAGTTGAAGCCACGAAGTGTCCAGCTCGGAGAAGAAAGTATGCATTTGGGTGACGCTCGTCACCAAGCTGGTGACGCTCGTCACCCCTAGAGGAAGGGTCGTGGCTGGTTTCATAAAAGAAGGAGCATTATTTGCAGTTTTGGCCCAGAAGTTCTAGTATTTGTAAAAAGGCCTCAGATCGTGTTTTAGCTTGTATATTAGGTTTTTCAGTCATTCTTTTGGCAGATATCGTGTATCTTATTATTCTTTTTGAGAGCTTTAAAGAGAGATTTGTAGCAGAGCTTTTGGAGAGACAAATCAGACTCCTTCATAGCTGATTTTGAACTCATTTACTTTCTATTTCTTATTTCTTTTATGCAATCTATTCTAATCATGATGTTTTCTCAAATCGCCATGTCTGAGTAGTTTGTTAGTTAAGTTAGGGCTTTTCAAAGGTTGAAGAAGAGTTTGTAGGATTGCTAAACTTATAGGAAATCCATTGGTTCTTCATCTGTGCTTGCATTTATATCGATTTCTTAGACACATCATCTGGATTTCGAAACCCTAGGTTGTTTGATAGATGTGAGAGCATTATTAATCACCTGAACTAGTATTAGATGAGCAAAACGCCCTAGTGCAAAGAGATTTGGCTTAGGAGTTTTGTGAACAATTGAACCTGATCATTACTGCATATTTAGATTGTTAGGATTTGCAAAGAGATTTGAAACTCTGTGATTTAGACATAGTTAACTTCTGCAATGAGAATTGATTAGTTATATCTTTGTGATTCATGCTCAAGACGGTTCTTATTCATTCCTGATTACATGCATTCTACACTCTCGGATTCAACCTACGAATTGTCCTGACTTAGCGCCTTTAGCTTTTTGAACTTTAAGAACAAGCATAAAACGCCCACTTGCATTTATTTTACTGTTTCACATTACGTTACGTTCATTACTTATTGCTTAGCTTAATCTGAACCTACAATTGATAGTGTAGTTTACATACTCCCTTGGGATTCGATAACCCCTTGTACTACAACTGTTTTGCTGTGCACTTGCAGTAGTTTTATTTGGGTAAAACCTAAGCCCTATCAAAAACCAGGAATATCTAAAAAGTAGCCAGTAAAATACAAGGAAAGGTTAGTAGCAAAGGGTTACTTGCAGAGGAAGAGAGTAGATTATGACGAAATTTTCTCTCCAGTTGTTAAACACACTTCTATAAAATTTGTGTTGAGATTGGTAGCAATCTGGGACTATCATCTTGAACATATGGATATCAAGACAGCATTTCTTCATGGAGATCTAGATGAAAAAAATCTATATGGAGCAGCCAGAAGGGTTTATAAAACCAGGTGAGGAGAAGCTTGTGTGGAGACTTAAGAAGTCACTGTACAGGTTGAAGCAAGCTCAATGGTACAAACGTTTTGACTCATACATGTTGAAGATTGGCTACACGGATTGCGAGTATGATTGATGCGTCTACGTAAGGTATCTTGATGATTATTCTCCCATATTCCTATTGCTTTATGTTGATGATATGCTTATTTCTGGGCAAAATATGGAAGATGTTGATTAGCTGAAAGAGTTATTGAACAAAGAGTTTGAGATGAAAGATCTAGGAGCTGCAAAAAGATTCTTGGAATTTGACATGTCAAATGCAAAACCAGTCTCTACACCTTTGGTGATGCACATCTCACTTTCAATATTATAATGTCCTAAGTCTGATGAAGAGATTAGATATGACAAAAGTTTTTTATGCTAGTGCAGCTGGTTGTTTGATGTACGCTATAGTTTGGACAAAACCAGACTTAGTGCAACTAGTTAGTCAAGTAAGAAAGTACATGTCTAATCTTGGAATAGCACACTGGCATGCAGTTAAGTGGATTCTCAAGTACTTGAAGGGTACAGCGGGACTTGGGTTTATGTTTGGAGGTCAAGAGAGTTGCTCAGTTATGGGATATATTGATTCAGGTTATGCAGGTGATCTAGACAACATAAGGTCTACTACATGGTATGTTTTACTCTTGCAAAATGTCATATTTTTTGGATATTTGTGTTACAATCTGTTGTTGCAATGTTTATCACAGAAGCTGAGTATATGGTGATGGGAGAAGGAGCCAAGAAAGCATTATGGTTAAAAGTCTTATGTCAGGATTGGGTGTTGATCAAGATGGAGTTCAGCTAGACAGTGATAGTCAGAGTGCACTGTTTCTAGCTAAAAATCATGTATATTATGCAAAGACAAATCATATTCAAGTCAGATTTCATATGAACAGAGAGTTGTTTGCATCTGGAGAAGTCTTTTTGGATAAGGTGCATACGTCGAAA